TAAGGACAACCCAGGAAACTACAGACCAGTTAGTTTAACTTCTGTGCCAGGGAAGATAATGGAGCAAGTAATTAAGGAAATCATCTGCAAACACTTGGAAGGTGGTAAGGTGATAGGGAATAGCCAGCATGGATTTGTAAAGAACAAATCGTGTCAAACCAATCTGATAGCTTTCTTCGATAGGATAACGAGCCTTGTGGATAAGGGTGAAGCTGTGGATGTGGTATACCTAGACTTTAGTAAGGCATTTGATACAGTCTCGCATAATATTCTTATCGATAAACTAGGCAAATACAATTTAGATGGGGCGACTATAAGGTGGGTGCATAACTGGCTGGATAACTGTACTCAGTTATTAATGGTTCCCAATCCTGCTGGAAAGGCATAACAAGTGGGGTTCCGCAGGGGTCTGTTTTGGGACTGGCTCTGTTCAATATCTTTGTTAATGACTTAGATATTGGCATAGAAAGTACGCTTATTAAGTTTGCGGATGATACCAAACTGGGAGGGATTACAACTGCTTTGGAGGACAGAGTCATAATTCAAAATGATCTGGACAAATTGGAGACATGGTCTGAGGTAAACAGGATGAAATTTAACAAAAACAAATGCAAAGTGCTCCACTTAGGAAGGAACAATCAGTTTCACACATACAGAATGGGAATAGACTGTCTAGGAAGGAGTACGGCAGAAAAGGATCTAGGGGTTATGGTGGACCACAAGCTAAATAAGAGTCAACAGTGTGATGCTGTTGCAAAAAAAAACCAAACATGATTCTGGGATGTATTAACAGGTGTGTTGTGAGCAGACACGAGAAGTCATTCTTCCGCTCTACTCTGCGCTGGTGAGGCCTCAAATGGAGTATTGTGTCCAGTTCTGGACACCGCATTTCAAGAAAGATGTGGAGAAATTGGAGAGGGTCCAGAGAAGAGCAACAAGAATGATTAAAGGTCTTGAACATGACCTATGAAGGAAGGCTGAAAGAATTGGGTTTGTTTAGATTGGAAAAGAAAAGCCTGAGAGGGGACACGATAGCATAGATACCTTTTAGGTGTCATAAGGAGGAGAGAGAAAACTTGTTCTATCCTTAGAGGCTAAGGTGAACAAGAAGCACTGGGCTTAAACTGCAGCAAGGGAGGGTTTAGGTTGGACATTAGGAAAAAGTTCCTGTCAGGGTGGTTAAACACTGGAATAAACTGCCTTGGGAGGTTGTGGAATCTCCATCTCTGGAGATATTTAAGAGTAGGTTAGATAAATGTCTATCAGGGATGGTCTAGACAGTATTTGGTCCTGCCATGAGGGCAGGGGACTGGACTCTATGACCTCTCGAGGTCCCTTCCAGTCCTAGAATCTATGAAGCACTTCCTTTTCTCCTTCATCTTCTCAGAAAGGCACTCAAGCAAATCACCACAAGTTTCACCATGTAGTTTAAAAAAACATGTGAACTGGAAGTTATTTGAAAAATAAAAAGCATTTTATTACTGAAGCCAAAAGAATCAAGCTTAGACTCATACCGGAAAGCAAAGTTTTAACCTTTGATATGAAAGAGCTACTAGCTATAAGTAAAAAAGGTGCTTAAGGACTAACTAGATTAATATGTGAAAATAAAAACCTATACTGCAAGTATAGGAATGAAAAGTGGTTTATTTTACACACAGATCTTCATTAAAAAGTAAGGCTGATAGTGGAACTTTTTATTTTGATGCATAAACTTGATAAAAGTTGAATGTTACAGAAACGGTGTACAATGCTGAACAAACAAGTCACATGTATAGGGTTTTTTTTTAAAAAAAATCAGAACCAGTAATTAGCATAGACATTTGTGATTTCTAGTTACATTGTAAAGTGTCTTGTGTAGTCATATTCTATTGTTGGAATGACCGCTTGTACAAATTTCAAGAAAATAAGAAGGTACCTGAATCTCTAGTTAAGGTAAACAGAGTAAAAAAGAGTAATTAAATACTTTATATCCAAGAAAACTAGGTGAAATCATGTCTTTTGTAAGTGGCCTGAATCTTATTAGTATTTCATTAGGTAGGAAAAGTACAGCTTAGAAAGTCTAAAGGGGATAAGAAAACAATACAATAATATAGTGAAGAGTGGCACTTCTCAAAACTTATGATCTGAATGATCAGGTATTATTTCAAGTTTAATAAATTCACTTATTTTTAAAAACAACTTTACCCTGCTAACACTAAGCCAGTTTTGCATGAAATACTTTGTGTGTACATTGAATTGCTTTCAACGGTTTACCTTCCAGTTTAACTTGCTTTAGACATATGTTACACCACATAATCTGTCCCATCCACAGGTAGCTGATATGAAGCAGACTCTACAGTTTATCAAGTATCAGAGGTGTAGCCGTGTTAGTCTGAATCTGTAAAAAGCAACAGAGGGTCCTGTGGCACCTTTGAGACTAACAGAAGTATTGGGAGCATAAGCTTTTGTGGGTAAGAACCTCACTTCTTCAGATGCAAGACTTGCATCACTTGCATCTGAAGAAGTGAGGTTCTTACCCACGAAAGCTTATGCTCCCAATACTTCTGTTAGTCTCAAAGGTGCCACAGGACCCTCTGTTGCTTTCTACAGTTTGTGTCCATCTCAAACTGTAGTAGAATGACAGAGCCACATGAAGGGTTAAAACCCCACACTGTTAGCTTAGTTATCAGCCTACACTAGCTGTAATCTATACTGGTACAACTTTCTTGTTTATTCAAGGTCTAAGACTAGCTAGTATGAGAGCTGCTGGTGGTGGTTCAGAGCTTTCAGCAGAACCACAGCCCCCCCTTCCCTTCTTGTTTTAGAACAGGAAAGCCAAATGAAGGATTTAACGGGACACTGGTACCTTGAAAGTGACATTTCTGTCTGAAAGTGTTGTACTAATATATTAATACCTACTGTTATTACAAGTATCACTTAAGATTCCTCATCTCACTAAGAGATCAGAGAAAGTACTATTTGTACAAATGCAACTGACCAACAGAAGAGTGAAAGTGACTAGCTATAATATGAATTATTTTCACTGTTCTGTTGGTCAACTGCATTTGTTTTAGAACTAGCATGAGATCACTAATGAATTTTGCTGGGGGAGCTCAGTCAGAACATGCATGCTACTTCCCAATTCCTGCACATAAGAAAAAATGGCAACTTGGCGTGCCTTGGATGTTATTGCTAATCTAAAAGTGACTTCAATAGCAGTAAGCCTCACAAATTACCTGCAAAATAAAGTTTTAGGAATGGACGGAGGATGGATTAGACCTTTATTAGATAACATATTCTTCAGAGGTCTCCTGACATTCCATGGAAAGGATACATATGAACTCCAAGTTCTCCCCCACCTTCTGCAACTGTTTCAATTATTTTCTTCATCACTTCTGCATGCCTGAAAGTAGATTGGGACTCTTAGAGATATCATGCCAAGACAACTCAATCTTCCATAACTCAATAAAATTAGATTATTTGTGCAGATTAATAGCCTTAAGAAGTATGACTGGATGGCTACGGAAAGTGGCATTTGGATAGGAAATTTTTTAACCTTTAGCTTACTGGCGTCAAACCAACTCCAAACCATGAGGAAGTTATAACCAATTAACTGTTGTTTGGTTAGGCTTCTGAAAGAATAGGGCATACTTAGTCCACATCAGAAAACACCCTGAAGAACGTTATCCTTATCGGTAAGTTTCATACTTCACCCTGGACATTGTTGCACTGTGTCAGAGAGGAAGTACATTGTTGAGACAGCGTGGAATAAATTGGAATTAACTCACCTGGGGGTAGGTTGCTTCCATCACTAAAACGTTGTTTTAAAAAGTTTTGGTGCTGGGCAAGCAGAACAATGAATGAGAGTTTTCACAGACCAGTTTTAAACCACAAGATGCCCTCCATACTGTTAAGTCTCATACTTCATGGTTTAGTATGGCAATCTTCAAGCTAGTTATGGCTGAGATTCTTATTCCAGACAATGCACAACAAGATTTTAAAATCAAATCATACTAAGAGAATACACTTCAAAGTTACAAGCGATTTTCATTTTCAAAACAAGTTTAAAACTCAGATCTTGCTTTTACGTACCTGCCATATCAGAGTTAGAAAGTTCCAGTTTTTTGCAATAGTTGTGTCAACACCTTAAACTGCAGTAAGATGTTCTTATTTTATTTTAGGGGGGGTTAAGTTACATTTAACCCTTCCACAAATGCCAGTTTAAATTCACCGTCCGATTAATCAAGTCATTTTACTAGCTGTTAGCATAAATCTGACCATGGAGCACTGTGGCCAGAGTGAGATTAAGATCAGGTTCACTAATTATTTATATGTGTATTTTCATCTAGCATCTTTCATACATGGTGCTTTTCAAACTATGAAGAAAGCACTTCATCCACTACTGAAACAGGCTGCAGAGAGACAAGAGCAATTACAATATGTTTAGGACCCTTCGCTTTCAGTTATTTTATTTTAATTTTTCCCAGGAATTTATCAGCATTTATTACTACAACAAAAACAGGTGAAAAAAAAATCTATGGAAAAACAAATTTTCTGGGTAAATATTGGGTTTATTTTGGTGGACGGAAGGAAAGGGGAAAATATTCAGTAGATTAATGCTTTGATGAATGGAATTCAAATGTGGTTTGCTGCAGAACTTAAAACACAATGCCACCTCTGAGTTTAAGGAAACAATATCTCTAATCCCGATAAAACTTTTCATTTGAATAAACAGTTTACTGTTGTAGACTTAGAACTATTAGCCTATAAAAATATTTACATTTAATAATTGGGCCACGCTGTTTGCAGTGCATATACTCAACTTCATCTTTTCTCCTGTTTTTTGGTTGCTTTTTTTGTAAATAATTTCAAATACTTCCTTGTGTTCTGAAACGTAATCCGATAAGATTTTATTTTCTTTGCATTTTAGTGTCTCAGATCTTGAAAACGTTATCTGCTAACAGCTTGAAATGTGTACATGGTGGGCGGGAGAGCCATCAGGATGTTCACATGTGTACACACTTCAGAGCTTGTGGGCGTGCTTGTTTATTGTGTGTATCTTCTAGACTAATACATAGCCTTACTTCAACAGACAGCTTTGCATATACACAAACTAATGTATTATTGTAATACATATATCTCTTGCAATGTATTGTATTTTCCTAATAAAACAAGTTATTTTTTATACATTTGAATGACAAAAGTAGGGTGAAAAATCAGAAAAAAAAACAAATAATGCTTTTTGTAAAAGTTGGGATATTTTTAATCAGTTTCAATTAAAAATGAAGGGGCTTAAATATGTTTCACAATTGTAAGGGAGGAGAAAGTGAACATTTCCACCTAATGACACTGGAGCAAAAAACTACTTTTTAAGAATAGCTATGGGACCTTCAATATGTCCATGCAGACCACAACCCCAATTAAAGATTTTGTCAAAGCTCTATGTAGTTCACTTTGAGTTTATTTGCCCCAGAGAAAGGGTGGGCTTGATCATCCCTGCCTGAATCCAAACTTGTGCTTCCAGATCTGATGCTCAAAATACTAAGAAATATTTTAGCCACTGGCAATTCTACATTTCACATACACCGTCTGCCATGCAAGCTAAGTTATGTAATTTGATGTTCAGTAACTGTTCTTTGCTTTTGTAAGCTATCACCACTGTTTTTCGTTTATCTCAAAATATGAGCCCACATGTACTCACTTATTGGCATTCTAAACACTGGAAATGTTTCTCTTTTAAAGTGTTTGGCACTTTAAGCCACCATGTTTTGACACAATGATCCATTACACATCTGGAGAAACATCAGTAGCTGCACACAGAGATGCTCCTGCCAATGCATCAGAACTTTTCACAACCACTTACAGTCTCAAAGTAAAGATGGCTGTCTGATATGTTTCCAATATAACATTTGTAGATATGGTAGGGCAGGGAGCAGCAGCGAGAAGGGGTACAGAGTGGGAAGGAGAGAGGACTGAGCAGACAATATTTCTCAAACAGGATTGCAGGGGAGAGAAGGAGGCATCAAGAACGACAAAGGAGGTGCTTTACATGAAGATGGCTTTAGCTATGCTTTTATTTTAGGTTTTTGTAGTCAAACCTTAATTTGTGAAAAATCCTCAGGTTAAGACGACAAACCAAGGGAAGACCACAAAGAAATTAACAGGATTTTTTTTAAAAATGGTCATCTCAAACTGATTGTCATTTAGGGGAAGCTTACAGAATTTAATGAAAGGGCTCAGATAGCATTATATAAATGCTTAAGTAGATGGCTATTAATCTGCATTAAGTCAACTCTGTTAGCTCAAAGTCTAGCCATCTTGCTCATGTGATTCTGAGAATACAAATAAGTGGTTACCACATTATTAAAACGGATATTGTGAAGTGGAATGAGTCAAAAAGAAGAAGTGGTGTTGGGCAATATCAGAGGACCATTTTTCTCACAAGCTATACTACTTGTCCTTACATGCACTTGCTGGGAAATCATAGTCCATTAATATTTTATTAGTCCCACTGCAATACTACTGTAGAGTGCATTGACAAAAATTTACACAGCAGGTGCTTTTCATATATATTTCAGGAACAGTCAAGCTGTTAGCCTCTCTGAATTCTCCCATGTCAGTTCAGCCATGCTGAGGCTGTTTCATTCTAGTTCAGAAAGTAAAGAAGTTCATTCCATGGCCATTGAATACTTCATCTCAAGATGATCAGAACAATGCTGCAGCTTGGTGGAAGAGTTATTACAATAGCACTGCAATTTTTCATTATACATTCTAGCCATAAAATGCTGTCACTGTGTTCCTTAGAATGCAAGACTTGACAGATTTCAATAATTACCAGTCCCATAGGAGCCAACCTATTAGTGTCACTCTTTCATCCCTACAGTTTTATAAAAATATGCACAAACACTTGTGAAAGCAGAACTAAGACTGGAAAGGTCTGAAGTGTTTTCTTTGAGCACTTCATTTTTAAAGGGAAGCAAAGATCTTATAACTTCAATATCAGCCACAAACCTCCTCCCTTCAAAGTAGAGAAAGAAGAGATAGTAGTCCTGCAGTCTGTAACAGACTAAGGCAGACATTCTAGGCTCAATAGTCCCTCACAATTTTAAAGTGAAACATGTACAAAAAGTAATCCTGGGAAATGCTTTTGGATGTGTGATAAAGGATGGTTACCTGGACTCACAGGAGAGTTTTGAAGAACAGATGGGAAATTGTATCTTTACTAGACATTATCCTGTATCAAACCACACTGTATGGACTTTAAAGAGAATGAAAAGGAACGCGAGGCAGCCATGTGAAAACAGCAATCTGAAGAACTGCAACCTAAAAGGGACTTGAAGGCCTTGTTTAATCTAGAGTTTAGTCCTTTTGTAATTAGAGTTAAATGTTTGCCAGTTAACTTGAGCTAGCTAGATACTCCACTAATGCTTATTTCACTACAAACATTTGATCCATCCTGTAGCCTAGATTGGACCAAAAACCATGTGTGTCCTAGAACAAATGTTAGCAAATGATGATCTACACATGTCACAATCATAGTAGTTGGCTTAAATTAACTAGCAATCAATTAACTAGTTACAATAGGACTAAGAACTTTCATCCAGATGTCAAACATTGCTACTCCTGCCAAAGAAGATCTGGTGACAGTCACGCATTGGGCTTCAACAAATGGAACAGCCATCAAAATAAGCTTCCTAACACAAAGGCCTCAGTAAGAAGCTCTCTCACTGAGAATTTGTTCTCCCAATTCCAAGGACCCTCTTCCTACCGGTGTAGGAGACCAAATGAACTCCCAGGAAAATCTTTCAGACTTCTGTGCGCCTTGAACATATTGTATTAAGTTTAAAAAAGCTGGCCTGGTGGTTTAGTTACACCTTGTGAATTGTGTAATTCGTGTTCATTAAAAAAGGTTAGGTCAAAAGAAAAAAGTTTTCCAGAATGGAATGAAACGGGACAGTCTGGTCCAACAAAAGTGATTTGTCTCTTGGGCTTTCACCATGACAAACTTCAACAGGAAAGGAAGTTTTAATAATGAAGTAGGGAAAATTCAAAGATTCCCCCATAATAAAGTGTGTCAGTGTGGAACCTGTTTATGAAAGTGATTTTTGTAGCTGCTCAAACACAGTGAAGTGAATGAGAACTAGTAGCAAAACCAGCATTACCTTTAACTGCAGCTTCCTGGACCTCCAAACTGACAGACACCAAGCCATCTTGGAAAGCACTAAAGTTGGATCATAGGAGTGAATCCTCCAGTTGACAGTATAATATCAGTATTTTTTTGGTTAATTCTTTAAATCT